AGAGTCTCCGAGACACGTGTCAGGTGGAAGGAGGGAAGGGGGAGGATTTAACGTGGTTGAGCGCCTCCCTCCGGAGCTCTCCGCCGCGGAAGCGGGATTTGAACCCAGGCCTTGTCGGTCGGGTGTCGTCTCTGCCGCATCGTGCGGGTCTCCGGGGTCACCCGAGGGGAGCCTCTAATATCCCTCTCCTCCAACTTCTTCTGGGGGAGAAAAAAAAAAGGAATCCCATCCTTTGCTCCCTTTCTGGGCGGCCTTCCCTCTCCACAAGGACCCTGTGAGGTTGGCCACCCTCCTCCGCTCAAGGCCTCCCACCGGGTTTGGCCCTCCTGGGGTGCCTTTCTTGAACCCAGATCATTTTTCTCTTTTGCAACATTCAGCTTCGGGGCATAAACCCACCCACTCTCCCCTTACGTCCTTACCCTTAGTTTTCTCTTTTGCAACATTCAGCTTCGGGGCATAAACCCACCCACTCTCCCCATATGTCCTTACTCTCATGCAGCCAACCTTCCCCACACCCTAAAGGTTTTTATACTATTTATGCTATTTATCGACCCCTTGCCCTGCACCAAAGGCTTTTTGCTTGGCTAAAGGAAGGCTTTACCTTGATGAGACGTTGCATTTTTGCTGCAGTTTGAGCACAGTTGTTTTCCCTGCAGGGTTTGGGCTTTCTCTCTCTCTCTCTCTCCCCGATGCTCTGCCTCCCCCGAAAACGTTGCACCCTTTCCTTGAAAAGGGAGATCGTTCTGCCCCCTTGATCCTTACCGTTGTCCTTTGCTGCCTCTTCGCTAATTGTACCACTTTGGTTTCCTCCAAATTCGGAAGGCGTGAAGAAATATCCCGAAGGGCGGGATGAAACAGGCAGATTTCCAATCACAGCCTTTGTTGCCAGTTAAATAATTCCCCCCCCCCAAAGATTTCAATCTTGGAAAGTCATTTAATTCTTTGATAGTTTTCTTTTTCTGCATTTGCTTTTAACTCCAAACTACGCAGTCCCTTTGGTTTGCCTGTTTGTTGCAAAGGATGGAGGCGCAAGAGAAACCCTCCCCTGAGTGCGGGCGGTGTGTTTACCTTGCTCGTTGGGAAACAGGGCCCGTTTCTGCCTCCTTGGCTTCTCTGCCAGGGCAGCCCCGGGTAAACTCACTCAGAAAGAGAGCTTCGGTTGCAATACGAACCCGGGGGGGAGGGGGGTTCAGCTTGTGGTTCCAGAGTTTTTCCCCGGTTTATGAATCTGGACTTGGTGGAGAGCCGCCCCCCCTCCCCCCAGCCGGGGTCTTGGCTTTCCAGATGAAAGCAGGTCTGGACCCCCAGGTGGCTCCGTCGGTAAGGGGTCGCCGTCTTCAGAGACTGTATTTGAAAGGCTGTCAGGCGGAAGATGGAGAAGGTTTTCACCCAGCAGCTCTGAAGGGGGAAGAGCCGAAAGGACTGGATTCAAATTGCAGCAGAGGAGACTTTCCCGAAACTTTAAAAAGGAAGGTAGACCATCGTCCAGAGTAGAATGGACCCACCTCAGGTGATGGCAGACTCTCTTCCTCTGGAAGTGTTTCAATTGATTTCTCCCCCCCCCCCTTTACAATTTTGCTCGGGCTTTCCTGTTTTTGAAAGGGTCAGACTTGATGGTCTTTGAGATCCCCAGACACCTGGACAGTTATGGGCGGAGAGAGGCGATGTGCATGGAGCCAGGGTGTAGCTGGATTTAATAAAATGGGACTAGGGCTCAGGTGACACACACACACCCCATGTTCACGTCCTCACTTGGCCACAAGACCCATTGTTAATCCTGGGCCACGCAGACATTCTGCGACCTACCTTACTGGATTGTCATAAGAAGAACATGGGGAATGAGAAGAACTGCGTATGCAACCTTGAGTTGACTGGAGGAAAAATTATAGAAATACTGTACGCATTTTCCCCATTTATTACTAGAACTGGCTATTAGAGGGAGCCATAGAATATGCTATACTGTACATTTTTGATTAATTTAAGAATATTTAGCATGGTCTCTTGCTCCATCTAGTGGCCATTTCTGGTAACTACATATTGAAAATCTGCCTATTTCTAGGTTTTTTTTTCTTTCTTTTTTTTATATATTTTCAGACCACAGAAAAGTGAAACTGTAGATACTGACCACACGGATATGGGGGTCCTACTGTAATGGTAATAGAATTATTGAATTCTGCCTCTCTTCTGAAGACAAACCTGGGTCAGTTACTTTGGCCCATCTATTTATTAATATCCTTAAACGGGCTAAAGATTAATTTTTAAAAAGGGACTTTTTCAGGAGTGGAAACAAGCCAGGGTCTTACAGGGTCCTTTAAGGATTCATAAGATTTGCCCGCCCTGAGCCCACAAGGAGTGGACTGCAGTGCATAAGAGACCACAGGAGATCAAACAGGTTAGCCTTCAAGGACGGGAGGTG